TAGGGAGAAGATCTTGGAGGTCCTTGACGGAACTTTACGGAGATCATGTTGGAGAACTAATCTCCTCTGTGGCGACGCACGGTTGCGCGGGGGAGATCTCCACGGTTGCCCCGCTGTGAGGAGATAGCAACTATGAATACACGCAGGTTCAGTGAGGTGAGTAGTCAACGACGGCAGAGGAGGAATCTCTTCCACGGTGATGGTGACACGAGGTTAGAGGCGGTGGTGGCTAGGAGAGACAAAAATAGGACGACTGGAAGTGAGAAAGAAAGAAAGAGAAAGGGAGATCTGCAGTCCTTGCAGATCTTTGTTGCCCTTCCATGTCTCAAAGATGACAATGTTGCAGCGATGAATGACGAGGTCATGGCGGGAACAACGTCAAGAGAACAGAGAAAGCGAAAGAGAAGGAGAAAGAAAAAGATGATTTGTTTTAACCCTAACAAAATCTTTTAGGATAAAAATGTCATTTTAAGCTTTTATTGATTGGGTTGTGTGGCAAGCACTGCTGCAATAGTTTTTTGGTCCCTGATATACCTCGATCCACGGGTAAAATTGTGTCAGTGTTCCTAAATATCTCAAAATGAAAGGTATAGCTTCCATCCATTCTTTTTATTTATTTATCATTTACGATTACGATAATATAGGATTCAAGAGAAGATTTTGAATATGATTTAGGATTTAGAATTATAATTATAATGAAAGGCAAAAAAAAATTTTTATGGTGCTTTTTCTGAGACTTTTTTGGAGCCGGCCCTAGAGAGAGACGAGAAAAAGAGAAAATATGAGTCAGCTGGAATTTCAAGACCGCCATCTTAATTTGATTGAATGGGATGACAGTTTCTCATTTTGCATGGCTTTTGACCTTGAAACTTGGAGTGGTAGTATGTGGAGTGGTGCTTTCGTTGGAGCGGATCTTACACGCTTTAGAAGTGTGGTGCTGTTCATTTGGGTTGTTGTCTCCAACATGTTTGCGAGATGGTGGTCGTGCTCCCTTGGCATTTTGTTTCGTGCGGCGCAGGCTTTTCTTGGAGGTGGTGTTTCCGATTACCGGCGGTGGATGCGGAGGGTGAGTTTCACTTGCAATTTTACGTCGTTTGCTCAGCCTTGCCATATCTCTTTCAAAGTCCTTTGCCTTTCCTGGTGGTGCTCTACCGATTGCCTCCTCGCTAGAGTTGCCTGACAACGAGTCTTGTGGTCTTTTTGTGTTTACTATGTTTTTATTTTTGGTGTGCTTTTACTATAATAATCGGGGTTTTCACCCCGTTATCTTTGTTTGTTTTTTGTATCCGTTGGACTGATGTCTTAGTGGTGCTTGGTGTAGCCTTAGTGCTATGATGTTTTGTCCCTCCATGGCTCAAAAGCTATCTTGCTGAGAGGAGTTTTATCAAATAGAGCATTAGTTGTGCTCGATTAGTGTGCTGAGGTATTCTTCCGTTTTTGGGCCTCAAGTGTACGTCCGTTCCCCCACTGGTCATTAGCCTTTTATTGTGTTTGTTATTCTAGTTTTGTTTAAATGGGAGTTCCCTCAAATATGGGTTTTTATTAAAAAAAATTATTATGGTCCATAATCTACATTATACATAACACTTTTTTTCCTTATTTTAAATTATTGAAAAGATAAAAAAATAGAGAAAACAAAAGAACAAGAAAAAAAAAGCATAAAAATCAAAGAACCAAATAGCTAACATGAAACATAAAAATCAAAGAACCAAAGAGCCAACGCGATTCGTTTTGACCGGCAAAAAAAGAATAGTAGAACCATCATCGACTCTTTTATAGAATAAGATAAGATAATATATAAAATGTCCCTCCATGAGACTCCTATAAAGTTAGAAGATCGTTGCTACACAATTAAATTGATTATGTTTTTAGCACAAATCTTATTTTTTTCGAGGGGCATTAATTTTGTGGTGGGAGAAACCCCACTCTAAGGATCACTGATATCAAACTTACGATTAAGATGAGATATCAACTTTCAAGTGGGTGTAGCATTGCAGCTCAAAATCAAAATTATCATTTCATAGTATCCGTGGAGCCTATAAAGTATGGACCATCTAATTTAAATCACGCACGGTCACGATTTAAAGGAAATACAATAAAAGATACAATATTTTTTAGTGCTCGTTTAGTTCGTTGATTCGAGTTGAGATGTGATTTTATGTGAAAACTTTTTTCTGTAATAAAAAAGTTAGATGTTATTGTTTCTGAGAGTTTTTTAATAAAAAAGTTAGATGTTATTGTTTCTGAGAGTTTTTTACCGTAACAAAACTCGAAACGGTGAAATAAATGAGGCTTAAGTATGCATGCCTATGAAATTCTAAATTAGGTAAGCCTATAGCACCAAATTTATTATTCAATTTAGCAAACCCCAAACCAGAGTGTAGAGTCGCACCAAACCCGGCCAAACTCCCTAGATAGATACATCAACTATTGCCACATCCGCATCACAAAAATAAAGGCCCTGTTCATTTCGCTGATTCGAGTTTTGCTACAGTAAAAAGCTCTCACAAACAATCACATCTAACTTTTTTACTACAGTAAAAAGTTCTCACATAAAATCACATCTCAATTCGAATTAAAAACTCGAATCAGTGAACTAAACGGGCCCAAAGTATAATGAGCTAATAAACTTAAATCACAATTCACAACCTGGCTCCAAAAATAAGGAATCTGACTGCAAGGCGCAGAAGCTTATAAAATGCATACGAGATGAACTCTGAAGAAGATTTACCAACAGGGTGTTATAGTGCATACATACTTTAAAAGGATGAATGAATTATTATCTGTCAACATTTAGACATCGTTAATTTAATCAATTCGAATTTAAAATTCAAATTTTGTTACAATAAAAAATTCTCAGAAAAAATCACATTTAATTTTTTTAATACAGTAAAAAAATTTCACATTTAGTCACATCTCAACTCAAATTAAAAACTCGAATCAATGAACTAAACGAGTAATTAATTTCTCTCTTCTTTTTAATAGAAGTCAACATGTTTTTTCCAAGAAACAAAAAGACTTTACTAATAAAAAATAAACAGGAATAGAGAAGGGGACAAGGAGGTAGGAGACCAAAACATAAAACATAGAGAAAATTTTATTTTAATATTCTGTATTATATCAAAATATACGTTTAATACTTTATATTTTTTATAATTTCACGCAGATATTTATACCTTGATGTTTAAAAAATCATTTTTTTAACCTGAAGTCCTTTGAGGGATATAAAATGTCATTTATACCCTTCAAATTACTTGGTCAAGTTTTTAAATTTTAAAAAACGTATTAAAAATATTAAGAAAACCATAAAAAAAAAAAAGAAAAAAGAATCCTACATAAAAAAAGCCCCAGAAAAACTCAAATCTTCATCTGCTGAAAGTCCACGGTCTTACAGCTCTGAACAAGTTCAAACCAAAAAAAAAAAAACCAAATTTATGGCCCTTATCAGATTTGAAAACCTAAAATACCCAATCGAAGTTTTGCATCAATTCTGGAGAAGCCATGATCAAATCTGGAGTTTTTCTCATTTCTGTTTCATCTTCTCTATCAATCAAAATCTCAGGAAATTAAACATGAAAGAACAACAATACAGATCTTCCTCCTCTTATTTTTTTTTTTTTTTTTTTTTAACTGACACAACATAAACCTAATATGCAGATATCATGTCCAGATCTTAACCCAAGCAAAAAAAAAAAGATCTGGTCTTCAACCCAGTATTGCAAGAACGCTAAACAAAATCTACATTAAATTTTTTGAGGCATTCAACATCAAAATAACTTTCTCCTCCACCACGCCAACATCTCCCGCACCACTTTCTTCCGCCTCCACCGCACCTTCCACGGCGACAACGCCGGCTGGATCATCAAGAACCACGACCCACAAAACCCCACCTCCCTCCCACCCTCCAATTGCCGTCAACAGCAAACCTCCTATTGCCATCCCCAAAGCCAAATCAATGCTTTGAGGAGAGCACAACCTGGAGAAATAGATGGCCCTGATCTGAAACTTTGCCGGATCTCTGCTCGTGGGGGCTGGGCTTGTCGGAGAGAAGAGAGAGAGAGAGAGAGAGAAAAGTTTAAAAGTTATTTATTATTTATATTTATAGTATTGACAGAAAATTTTTTCAAAAAAAATACTTGCTTTTAGTTAATTAATGAAGTAGACAGTTTGACGTTTCATATCCAAAAAGGGATTCACGTACAAAAAATAAATTTTGACGTCGAGATACCCACATAAAATTATGAAAAATACAAGAGATCAAACACATATTTCGACATAGAACAGAAATTCAAGGAACAACTTGTATAATCTCCTAGCCCCTTAACAAATCAGAGAATGTCAGAGTGGAAACACAACAAGGCCTTCGGATTGAGCAATTCATCAAAAGCTAGCCAATATTTGATAGAAGTCAACATTCAATCTCTTTAAGTCCATCAGCGTTAGTAACATGATATGCAATTTGAATATAAATTATCTAGATACCCAATGAAAACGTCCGTCATGACTAATGTTTTCTTTCTTTTTGTTTTGTTTTTTGTTTTTTTTTTTTGTTTTTTTGTTTTTTGGGATAAGAAACTCCCAAATGCACTCCCCAGGTTTTGAGCCTGCGAGCTCCCACCCTTTTCCCAAACCCACCTCCATCAACGTCATGATTATGTTTTCCAGATCAAGGCATTTTAGGTCAGGATTTTATTGTTTTCCCGTGCCCCAAATCCCAATATGGTCAGCCTACATCAATCCCAATGGAATTAAGCAAACGAAAACTAAAAACACATTTGCAAACTATTAAAGTGTAGCAGAAATAATCAAAAGCTGCATAAGAAATACCTTCAAGAAGACAACAGTACTTGCGGCACATGCTTTCCCACTTTAATCTGTTCAGATAATTCAATCTACTCAACTTGTCAGGTCAGAGACCTTCTTCAGTGCACGTGAATAGCTGAAATGGAAAAACCAGTAGAGAGAGAGAGAGAGAGAGAGAGAGAGAGAGAGAGAATAGCTGAAGAATAAAAAAGCTGTATTATAGAACACAGAACTACAAAATGGGCTGATAATGCCGTTTCGGACTTTGAAACACCCACACATATACAGAAAAAGATGAATGCCCTAGACAAGATGGCCCAAGCAACTCCACTCTCATACATAACAACTACACAGTGGGCAACTTCAATTCTTATCTTTACAGAGGAAATAATAAATATAGAGCAGATCCATAAACAAATTCATCAAAAGTGCAGATAGCAATGATCTTTTGCTATCCAACGGAGCAAGGCAATTAACTGCATGGACCTTTGCCATATAATTCATTAAACCACCACGATGTCCTTTAGAACAGCTTCTAACCAGATAAAAGATCTGGAAACCCTGAAAGCAGGGGTTGATTATTCAGAACTGCGAAGAACTTTCACTTTGTGTCCAAACAAAAGCTTAATCAAACCTGGAAAGGAAGAATGGTGCTCAAGTTTTTCCACGGGACATTGGTAAACAATTGCTGAACAGTTCAACCATACATTTGGTCTGAAGGTAAGTGGACTCGAGATCATGACACGGAATGCACCAAACACACATTTCTGAAAGACTTCCGCCAAAATTGAAAGTATCGACAATCATAAAGGTTAATGATCAATAAGATTCAGTTTTACTTCAGGGACATAGAGAAATTTCTATCCTGATGTATCAATTTCCTTTCCATAATCTTCCCCGTGAATATTTCTCTTCAACCTTCTCAACCAAATAGCATAGTCCATTGGGTATGGTGTTCCACATAGACTGTCTACATAGTCAGCAAATGCTTTTAACACAGTTGACACATCACCTAATTTCTGCTGAATCAATCTCCTTGACCAAGCAGTCTCTCTCCACTGCAGTGCGCCCTCAACTGAATCAAGATCTGGTAACTCCCCACCACAGCAAAAATAAAGCATATAAACAAGGCTCTCTGCATCTGAAGCTGAACATACTTTACCCTCCTGAAGAGCAAAAGTTGACGAAAAATGGAGGTTCATTGCAGGTCGATCCCTCTCTTCTAAAACAGCATGACCCCAACCAATAAGAACAAAAAAAGGATGCCTTGTACTAGACCTCACACAAATCACATTCTGAGGCCTGATGTCTCCATGCCGAATTCCTGCCGAAGCAGCAGTTGAAAGTGCAGATAAGCAGTCATGGCAACATCTGATAGCTTCATCAGTCCCAAATGGACTTCCGCTTACCATATCTGTCAGTGTCTCACCAACCGGGCTTGTTACAAGAATAGGGGTGCCACACCAAGGGTGGTTGCAGTTCCCTCCTGAGCTAGATCTATGGCACTGACCCGGATGGATAATCCTACCAGATGCAATCAACTCAGGTAGATACTTGCTAGATAAACCTTTTTGTTTCATGATGGTCAATATTTTAGTTTGTCTCTGAACTTGGTACCACAAATTCATACCCTCCCATGCTGGTTCAAGCTGAGAAGGATGAGAACCAACATATAAAAAGAGACTTTTTCCTAGTTCTTCAGGAGGAGATGTAATATAGTACACATGTTCGCCTGTACTATGGACTTCGTTAATTTGGTAACCCTTTTGCCAGTTTGAGTCCTCCATCCATATCAAAGATCCTACTTCTAACTTCATTAATTCTTCAGACTCAATTTTGACGGACTCATCCTGAACTTCAACAATTTCTGGTGAAACACTGCGCTGCTGGAACCTAAATAGACCATTTCCATTCACCTTGGTATCCCCCATCTGCCTCTCAGCCCTTCTTGCTTGCAGGCGAGAACCATGGTCAGCAGCTAAATCCTCAACTGAGTGCTTCGGAAGTCCCGCAAATTGAGCGATAGACTGAAAGGTAGCAAAAAGCACCTGTAAAACACCAATATCTCCCCAATTCGCATTTCCAAGCTTGTTCCAGATTCTATCAATTGGCGAGACTGCAATCTTAGAATGTCTTTTAACCCATTCCGCAGCACACCCGTAGACATTATTCATATTGAACTCCAACTTATTTACATCACCTTCAACCTTGACAACCCCACCATATTGAGAATCAACAAGAATTATAAAAACAGATTTTGAACTCTCAGAGAAATTCAATCTACTCAAGCTTCTTGATAACAACACGCGTATGGCATAGAAAAGAGCCTCACCTAGAAGCAATGGCGAAGGCTGCCTGTCATTATCAATGGCAAGGCTTCCAATATCAGGCCTAAGAAGAGCCAATTCAAGTATATAATCCCACTTCCCATGGGGATGCCTGGGATTCTTAAGCAATATACAAGTGCCGCAAAGACCTCCAAGCTTTCCATTAGCAACTGCCTTCTCAGCCTGATAAAACTTCAGGTTTTCATTGTATAGAGAAGCAACAGAAAAAGGCATTGGCTCCTCCTGACTCCAAAATGCTTCCCACAACCCCTTCACACTAGCATGTAAAAAGTCCTCGACTGCAAAATAAGCAGTTGCTTCAGCAGCCTCAGATGTTGAAGCGTAAACAGCACTGGGCATCCGAATCAGCTGCTGAAACGAAATGCCTTCCAATGCATAATCGAACTTTTGAAGGTCTATCAGCTCAAAAGGAACATCAAAAGCAGGCTTCTTCGATGCTGATCTATTGGATATTAACTCAAACCATTCTTCAAGTTCTGTAGTAAGTCCTTTACTATCCAAAAATCTACTGAGGAACTCTTTGCAATTCCGAGACCTACTCCCAGATGATACATTAGACCTCCTCGCCCCAGACCCTATAGACTCTTGGTCAGGGGACCCACCTTCAAGCAAAGTACCACAACATTATCAGCTGAATGAGCTTTACAAGACAATCTTGAAATAGCTATTTTTACATTCACAACTCTGAATATGGAAATCAAACAAAAACATATTTTTTTATTCATGCAAACATAATGTAAAACCTACATCTAAACATGTTTACCAATATCACATTTCCCCCTATGTCAGGTTAAAAGTTTAAAAGAATCTCTACTCTTTTTTTCCCATTACAACATACAAACTGACAATCAAAATATGAAAACCAAACAGACCAAACGAAGGGTACAAAATACAAGCAAGACTAAACCAAAAGAAAACAAAAAATCTAGTGAATTTTGTAACACTAAAGTCTAAAACCAGTCCAAGCTCAGTGAAAACAAAACGGAAAAAGGGAAATTGGGAGATACCAATGTAGTTCCAGGGGCTTCATTAGGAGTGCAATCAAAATCCAAAAGGATACTAAAGACGACATTAAATGGTACAAAAGTTTGAAAAACGTAACAAATTTTTATTTATTACTTGAAAAGCAAAAATCTCCTTTCTTTCTTCCCCTAGTTTTCTCTCCTTGAATACGTGCAACGTTGACAAAAATCACGATCACTCAAACGAGATTTACCAACGGACAAACAACCTTAATTTTCCAAAAACTCACAAAAAAATGGAAAAATAAACAAGCGTTAATTATATTTCCTTTCGACGAGTAATCGAACCGAAAATTCAACAAAATTCCATGCTCACTCTTCTTCACTTCTCAAGCAATCCAAATTCAGTCAACGAATTCCTTAGCTACGGAAACCCTAGAATTACACCCATTTTCCATAAAAAGAAAAAGAAAACCCGAGCGAGAATCGAAATGAACGAATATTAATTACGCAAAAAAAAAAAAAGGGAAGAAAAAAAGAAAAAGAAAAGGGCTCACCTTCCATTGCGGTTAGGGCTCCAGTTAAGGAATTTCCGGAGTCCGAGAAATCTCATTGACCAAACACCCCCAAACCCCAAGACCTTCCTTTGCCGATCCACACCACACTGTTACTCTCTCTCTCTACAAAAATTAGCTAAAAGCCAACATATTTTGTTGTATTTTAATTTCGCAGCCGGCATTTAGCATATTCTTGCAAATAAAGAACACTTTTTAAGTGGAGCGCCAGTGGAAGCCGATGAGGAGACTGACTCCTTTTCTGTGTTTATTCAAGGCCTTGTGGTTTGGACCACCAAGCGGTTAGGGTCAGGGGAGCTGGGTGGTGTATGGCATTTGGGTTCGGGTTTGACTTCTTTTGGAATCTATATTGGAGATTTTTTATTTTTTATTTTAGAAATCCTAGAAAATAAGCCTACATTTTAAATTTATAAAAATAAATGACTAATTTAACAATGTATAAAAATTAATAGACTGTTTTTGACTCGTTTGACATTATTAGAGGTTGTTTTTAACTTTTTTTTTTAAAAAAGTTACTGCATGTTAAAGTGTTTAGTAAATCTTATTTTTGTCTAGTTATTTCTAAAAATTATTGTGAAATAGTAGAATTTGAGAAGCATGTCAGGGGTTCCTTTTACACAGCAACTCTTACTGCTATTGTCTAAATTTATAAAAATAACCTTAATAATAAAACTTATTTCTCAATCTACTTATTTTACTTTTTCCATATTAAATTAAAAAACGTATATTTTTAAAATAGTTGTTCACTAAATTTTTATTCCAATATTTTTATTAATTATCAAAATGTTTAAAATAACAACAATAAATAAAAAAATTAGTAGATGAATAATTTTTCCCCATCAAGAAAAATAATTTGTTTTTAAGAAATATTTTAATTAATAAATTAAAATTATATCTTTTATATTTTGAATATTTACCATAAAAATAGAAATAAAACTATCTATATTTATGTGCTAAAGTATGCCTACTTACGTCATTATACATCTCCATAGTAATTTCATACACAATTTATCAAACACCTAAATTTTTACTTCTAATATTCATCGCACTTTTGTAAAAATATGTACTAAACACATGTATGTTTATGGTCACAATAACTTATTATTAACAACAGAGTAACAATAAATTTTTTTAACAACAGAGCAATGCTAAACTGACGTGAATGTTTTAAATTTTTAATTTTTTTAATTTTTTATTACTAACATCACTGGAGCAACAAAAATCTTCCCCAGCCATGATGCCAATAGCTTAGTTTGGTACTATGGAAATTATGAAAATTTTATTAATTGTATTATGTTGATTCTCGTACAATCTAAAAGTTAAAATTATCTTTAGACTATTTCTGATTTTGGTTATAGATTCTTAAAAAAATTTTAAAAAGTACTTTTGAGTAGATCTATCAAACACTAAAATCAACTTCTGCTATAAGCAGAAACTGATTTTGAGAGAGAAAAGTAATACCAAACTAAGCCAATAACTCCTTTTGTGTGAAATTAGAACCGGTGCAATTCTGACACGATTACCAAAAATATGTTCTGCCCTCAATTCAATCTCATGCGTCCACTTGATCTCAGCGGTTGAAAATAAAAGGACGTTTTGATTCGATATATATATATACATATATAAAAATTCGATTCCATCCAGCCGGCTGGATGGTTTAGCCTATATGAGGCAAAGAGTTAGCAGGCTAATGAATTATTATTGATACTATAATGATAGGTCTAATTAATTGTTATTGAATTATTTATTTATTTTTTATGTGGACAACCTGATATAGCAAGTTGGGATGGTTATATGACTTGGCATAGTTGTAATAATTTATTTTTCGTATCATCTTATTAAAGAGACGTTTGGTTCATAGATTAAAATCATGTGATTAGAACCATTTTTGATTCATGTGTATTTTTTGTGAGAGAAAATACTGTAGCGAACCATAAATCATGATTTGAATCCTCTAATTAAACATCCCCTAAATCAAAATGGCAACGTTTTTGTGATGAGAAACGTAACAATTGTTTGAATCCGGTGTAATTTTGTGTGCTGCAATGGTTCAATTACAACATAACTTTATCATTTTTTTTTTCAAACCAGTAAAATGCACTCTACCCACGCTCAAAAATTAGATTTACATATTATTAACAAACTCAAAATTTTACATATACTATTAGGCCAATCAGTACACAATCTTTTACAGTCAACGACCCCTTAACAATTCAAATCAAAACACCCACAAAAAACTTTTAAAATTTTGTCGCAAAATACTATAAATTTTTAAAATTTTGTCACAAAATACTTTTAAAATTTCAATTTATAATGTCCGTTCCCCATACTTTAGAAGTCTTGCCAAATTTCCTCTTATGTTAAAGCTTTAACGGAATTAAGGGCATTTTAGTCAATTTAATCTAATTGTTTGAGTAAAAAAACTCAAAACAAAGAAAACGAAAAGATTTTCAGTAAAAAATAACTTATAGGCTATAGCAAAAGCTAAACCAGGGGAAAAAAAAAAGAGAAAAAATCTCAACCATCACCGTTTTTGTGCGCCAGAGGCGGTGAGTCGCCGAAAGGGATCTCGACGGCGTTTGGGGTTGCGTGGGGTATGAGTCGCCGAAAGGGATCTCGACGGCGTTTGGGGTTGCGTGGGGTAGATGGGCTTGCGGGGGTTGTCGGTCTGATTGCGAAAGCCAAATCTCCGGTGAGCAAACCGATGGCATCTTCTCCTTTAGCGGCGCTGTGGTTCGGCTCTCCAAATGCGACAGGGTCCACGACCTGATCAAGCAAAGATTCGTCCCGAGTTTGGGTCCTAGTCCTACGATTGGAGGGAAGAAGCTTGGCGATCGGAGCTTTGGGTTCTCTTTTGAATCTGTTCTCTTTGGGCTCGTCTTAGGAATCTGCAGGTTGTTTCTTCACAAATCCAATCCATGGATGATATTTTGGTCATGTGTTTCTTCGTTTATGCAATAATGGGACATGGAGATTTAAATCAGCAATAACTTTTTTCTCTTTGATGCAAATCAAAGCACTATCAAACAAGCAAAGAAGATGAAAAATGGAAAGCACCCATGGCTTCATGAATAAATTTGGGAAGTATCGAACATGGCTTCCCTAGTCTTTTTCTTATTTAATCTCTTTTTTTCTTGTCATTTTCTTAATATGGACGATAATGAAAATAATTCTTAAACTAAGTGTGCAATTGTAATTGCACTTTCAACTCGACAACTCTTATTGCAGGTGATGCCACGTGTCATTTTTGTTAAAATTTTAAAACAGGAGAAAATTTGTAAAATTTTTATGTTGCAAATTAAGGTTTAGAAGCATTTTATTATAAGGTTTATAGTTTAGGAGACATCCATGTAATATGTCAAAAAAAAAAAAAAAAAAAACTCAAAATTAAGAAACAAAAAACCACTCAGTGCTTCCAAACACATGGTTTGTGTTGCATTCACCAGCAAGTATTGATTGTTGTTTGCATAAAAAAAAAAAATATATATATATATATATATAAAAGTTTTGATATTAGGTTTCATTTATTTACCGATTTGAGTTTTTAATTTTAATTTTATTACAGTAAAAAGCTCTCATAAAAAATTACATTTAATTTTTTTACTACAGTTAAAAGTTCTCACATAAAATTACTTTTCAACTTGAATTAAAAATTCAAATTTGTAAAATAAACGAGATTAAATGTAATAATAATAGTAAAAAAAATATTGTGATAGGTCGGATATTCGTATGAATTTTGTGTTTTAAAAGTATGACCAATTTAGAAGACATAAGTTGTTCCTTGGTATTATGGTTTTGCACCATTCAAGACCTTAATACTTGACACCTGTCGTCAGTGTAAAATGACGAATGGATCATTATGACGGATCATTAACATTAATCAAAGTAATTAAGCAAATGAATACTAATTGGTGAGTTACATTTGCATGCTTGTCTTTGGATATTTATTTATGTAGGGTCATCAATGGCATGACGGATACCACCAATTAAAATTGTACCGAAACAATGCAATGTAGTGAATAAGGAAAAAGAAATAATTGAGGCGTGAAATAAATAAAATAATTAAGAGAATTGATATAGATACCAGAAAGAAATTAGTAATTAAGCATATTAAATAGACAATATAAATGCTATGAGGACCGCAATGCATTTAATTTTTACATAATAGCATCTGGTTTATTACTAAACGTATATTTAATCTGTAGATAATAATGATGAAATATTGAGGCGTTATAACACCTTTATTTATTTATTTGAGGAGTTATACGTTTCAAAACAGAACACTTTACTCTAAAATGGCTGCTGAAAATTGAACATGTTTGGCCTTTTCCCTTTACATAATCATATGATGTTAAATATTAAACTAACATCTTTTTTTTTTTTTTTTTTTTTTTTTTTTTATCAAATTGAGATTTAAACTAAGCTTCATGCTTCTAACATGAGCCAAAAGAAAAAACCACAAGCTCTGATAAGGCAATCTGCATTAACGAAAAACAGAAAAAAGTATAAATAACAGTAATAGTAGTCTATTCAATCTCGATTAATTAATCAGCCACTCTTCATTCATTATTGTGCTTAGTCTTCCTCCACTTCTCTCTTATTTATCTTCTTCACAACTGGGACTTTTGTCCTTAATTTTTCAATGTTTGCTTTGCTCAAAGCAAACCATCTTCTTTTGGTTCACCATTTTCCATTTCATGATTGTTATTTGGCACTTTTGAATACTTCGTTTGTTCCCCATCTTCTTTTGGTTCACCGTTTTCCTTTTCATGATTGTCAGCTATAGTAGTACCATTGTTCTTGCAATGGAGGATTTCTTCAGTCCAGCGTCTTAACTGCTTAACGGCTTCATCATCTGTTTATAAGCCCAATAAATCAGTACAGCCAGGGCATAAATGATTCAAACATACATATGTACGCACATATACGTTCTTTGTGAAGGATCGGTCATATACCGTACCATATATAAGTAAGGGTATAACGTGACATTTTATTCCCTATACCAATGACTTTAAAATAAGAAAAACGCTAAATTTTGCGATAAGTAAATTCCTCATGGTTACACCTTGCAAAATCATTTTTGTACACAAAATGTTATGTTACGTATTAATCACAATCCGGGCAGAGAGAGAGAGAGAGAGAGAGAGAGAGAGAGTGTGTACCTAATCTTGGGACAGTATGGCCCTGTGGGTGCCTTATAATTAGAGGATTGTCAAAGGAAGTGGCAAGCTCCTGAGAGGGAAGTTTCAACCAATCCTTGGCTCCAATTAAGTGGATTGATTTTACCTTTATGGGGTCTTTGTAGGCAACATCACATATTGCTGGGGTTCTGAACTTTGATCCAGATATTGACACAAAGAATTTCAATGGTGGGTGCTCCTTCAACACCTTTCCCTGTATTTCCAACATCATTTATCTCTCATACATACAAATATACATGTTTGTGTGTATTTCTATAAGCAATACTTAAAGAAATAGGAAAGAAAGACCAAAGACTAACTCACTTGCGCTTGGTAACCCAGCAAAAGCGCTGCTAGTGTTGCACCCTGTTTAAAAAAATAGATGATTAAACCATTGATCATGCACTGATCATAGACAGACTAATTGGGCAGTATTTTTTCTAGACTCAAACTTGTATGTTTTTATACAACAATGCTATGACACAGTGGTGTCGTTGAACACCGCCCACTAATAAAAAGTGGGCAACGGAGCAACAAAAAAAAAGACGCGCCCTACATTTCTATTAATTATGGATGCCTTAGAATCATTTTTAGTGTAGTGCAGTTGACAAGCTACTCAAATGAGTGCACAAAGGAGAATTCAATTTCCAAAAAGAAGAAAAGAAAAAAAATTGTTAGGAAAAAAAGATACGGCATTATATCGTTTAGATATGGCATTACTCTGTTTTTAGCACAAAAGGAATGCATAAATAATACCTGAGAGAAGCCAAGCAAACCGTCATAAGGACCATTGCTTGTGATGTAGTCACATAAATAAGATACGCATTCATCCAAGTTCATGTACTCAGTGAAGTCCTGCAGGTTGTACATAATAAGATTGAGATATTTTTGAAAAAAAAAAATGTAGGAATGAAAGTAAAAATAGATGATCAAGGACTGAGAAGATAAAAAGGAGACATGGTCCCATTATTTTTTTATCCATCCAAAAAGTATACAATTTTTTTTTTTTAGGAAAAAAAGTAGACAAATTTTTTAGAGACAACCTGTTATTGTTATTATTATTATTATTTGCTAAGAGACAACTTGTTACTATTTACATGAAGACTTTTACCCTTTTGGATTCATTTCAGACAGCTAAAGTAGTCTTAATTAACTAACAAAATAAATAATTTTTTAAATCATCTTTCCCTTCTTATGATACCTAATCAGTTAAAAGAAAAGACAACTTTCTTCCTTTACATTTTTTTTTTCTTGCTAAACGTTGTGAGTATCTAAAGCCTAAGGTTAAACAAAATTGATAATTTTTCAAACAAGAGGTCGGGAAAGTGTTACCTTGGCGAATTGGAACCACTCAAAGTAAGGTGGTGGAAAGATTCCTTCTATATCAGATTTTCCTTGGGCAGGGAATATACCATCTGGAAAGTCCTGCAAGTGGTGTTACCCAAATCATGATTAAAACAATTGGATTCGCATATTGTTAGGTTAAATCGAGTTGGGTACGTTTGGTTGGAGGATTCAAACCATGTGATTCGAATCATTTTTTATTTACGTGAATTTTTTGTGAGAGAAAATACTGTAGCGAATCATGAATCATGATTCGAATCAGGGAACGAATCCCTCTACCAAACAGAGATGTTAGTCCCAACACACATCATATGGTTTTTAAGTTAATGTGCAGACCTTTCTTTCATGTTATGCTTAATCCTCATTAAACTGCATTGGGTTTCTATTGATTGGTCGGTAATTTCTCCCATGGCCTGAGGAAATAGTAATTTTCTATGAGTCTTTGCATTGTAGGGTTCGGTAGTGCACTTTTTATTTTTTTTAGTCTTTGAATTTGGTTAAAGTCGTATCAAAATAAAAAGTATATAAAATAAATAGTTTTTTATACGACCTCGTTTATTTTATCGATTTGAGTTTTATTACAATAAAAAATTCTAAAATATAATCACATTTCAACCCAAATTAAAAACTCGAATCAACGAAACAAAAATTTCTATTTTCTAAAGACTAGTGCTTGTGCAGTATTTTTCCCAGCGCTACTATACACACGTGATCTTTGTCTCAAGAAAAATGCTGATTTGCCCGACGGGCGTTTGGACATTTAGCATTGCTATTGCCTCAATCCTAAAGTGAAAATCTTTATCACCAAACAGTTTGTGGATGAAATCGCCAAGAAAGTACCCAAAATTGATAATAACAAAAAAATACATCGAAAATTCACTAGGCTGTTTATGTGTATGTAAATATCAGAATCAATTAATACTGGTTTCTGCAGTATAAAGACACAACATACCAATTGAAAGTGAGCAAAGATTGAAGGATCCCATTTGCTTATTTGCTTTTGCAGGAAACTCCCACTTGTTCTGAAGCCATGGAGACAAAGTATCTTCATCTTCTTCTCATTTTGGTTCTCCATATTTTTGGACCTTTTTTCTAAATTAGAGAGCAAAACGAAGACGTGGGTCTTTTTGTACCGAACAATTTGTACCTACCTACTGCAATAAGTTTTCAGCAAAAACCTACAAGTCAAATTCCCAGACTAGCCTTCTAGCGACGAAAGGCCACTAACTACCCGTCGTTGGTTTAGTAGTTTGGTTGGTTGGTGATGCACGTGCACATCTTTTTGGTGTTCTCTGCTGCAAAGAGTCAAAAGACAGTTTATTTATTTATTTATTTTTATATCTAAACTAAATTGTCTTGCTAATTAGCAAAGGATTTTCCATCCAAAAAAAAAAAAAAGCGCCCGGGGGGGCTCAAATGAAGTCTCTCTTGAGCCATGCATTTTATACTCCAAAATCTAATTTGAGAGTTATTATTTTATGCCCTATATTTTTATTATATGGTGTGATTTTAATGTCTATTTCAGTATTTATTTATCGGTGAATATTACTGTTTTACCCGTTGAATATTGATCCAACAGTTAGAATGAATTAGAAAGTTGACGAAAAAATTCATGACGGTTAATGAGCATTAAAATTGAAAATCTTGTTAAATGTAAAATATTTTTAGATGCGTAACGTCTTATTTACTTGTTGATGTGACATTTTAAATACTTTTTTATTTAAATAAATTATAAATTAAATACTTCAAATGAAGTCTCTCTTGAGCCATACATTTTATACTCCAAAATCTAATTTGAGAGTTATTATTTTATGCCATATATTTTTTATTATATGGTGTGGTTCTAATGACTACTCCAGTATTTATTCATCAGTGAATATTATTATTTTACCCGTTAAATATTGATCCGACAGTTAGAATGAATTAGAAAGTTGATGAAAAAATTCATGACAATTAATGTGCATTAAAATTGAATATCTTGTTAAATGTAAAATATTTTTAGATGCGTAACGTCTTATTTACTTGTTGATGTGACATTTTAAATACTTTTTTATTTAAATAAATTATAAATTAAATACTTCAAATGAAGTCTCTCTTGAGCCATACATTTTATACTCCAAAATCTAATTTGAGAGTTATTATTTTATGCCCTATATTTTTTATTATATGGTGTGGTTCTAATGACTACTCCAGTATTTATTCATCGATGAATATTATTATTTTACCCGTTAAATATTGATCTGACAGTTAGAATGAATTAGAAAGTTGATGAAAAAATTCATGACAATTAATGTGCATTAAAATTGAATATCTTGTTAAATGTAAAATATTTTTAGATGCGTAACGTCTTATGGTGTGGTTTTAAATACTTTTTTATTTAAATAAATTCTAAATTAAAAATGGGATAAGGAGGGACATAGCATAATTAGTAAAGTGATTATTACATTATAACATATTTTTTTAAAAATAGTAAATTATAGCATAATTTGATATTTTAATTTTAAATATTACTAAAAACTCAAAAATACTCCTAAACATCCTTTTCCACCTCACTTCTCCCCCCAAAACATCTATTTTTTTTTAAATATAGTAAATTATAGCATATTTTTTAAAATAGGTAGATTATAGTCAAGTCTACTATGCCCGAGACCGGTAGTCGTGCCGGCGACCAGATACCATTTTCTGGCAACCTGTGACCGTTTTTCAGTGACTGTTTTCCGGTGACCGTTAACACTGTATTTATGATAAAAACTGTATTTACCATTTAATACCGTATTTACTAGTAAATATCATATTTACCTGAAAAGTCTACCACCGACTCCAGTGACCATTTAACGTTGTATTTACAAGTAAATATCGTATTTACAAATAAATACCGTATTTATTAGTAAATACCATATTTATCAGTAAATACGATATTTACCAGTAAATATCGTATTTACTAGTAAATATTGTATTTATCAGTAAATACCGTATTTACCAGTAAATATCATATTTATCTGAAAATTCGACCACTGACCCCAGCGACCGTTTAATACTGTATTTACCGGTAAATACGGTATTTACTGGTAAATACTGTATTTACTATATTTATCTGAAAATCTGATAATCGGCTCTAACAATTGGTAAATATCGTATTTACCATATTTGTATTGACCAGATTCAAAAAATTATATAAATTAATTAATATTACAGATTGATCACAAAAAATCCCCAAATCTGTGCAAGAAAAAAATCCTAACCCTAATCCCCAAATCAGAGTGTTAGCTCATTACAGTTCATGTGGTGTAGATTAGTCATCTTGATGATTAGGCTTAGTAAAAGGTTGAATGAGCACAAGATTTTGAAGTCCCATGACATGTGATGATATGGTTTAGGAAGTTATATTTTAAGTTTTACGAATAAGTGGTAAAAGATTTTGTAGTTGTATCATGTTTTGAAGACTTATTAATGAGTTTTGTAGTTTTTCTTAAGAGTTTTATCATGAAATTTTTAAGTATATATTTCGCTGCCTATGATTTTTGTCGATTTATTTTCAGGCAGCCCGAATTTTCAGTCCGTCCAAGAAGAAATTCCAGTCGGGTCGGGCAGCCCGAATTTTCAGGCAGTTCAGGTTCAGTAATCGGACAAAAATTTAGACTTTTCGGTGGTCGCGGGCGACCCGTCTAAAGTTTCAGCACTATGCGTAATACATTCATTTAATATCTCAGCATATTAATTGTGCGGATAACACCGTTTCATTCTAAATGAGAATGACATGTATTAGTAATGTTTTAATTAAAGATTCTGATTTTTAATTAAATTCATTACAAACATCATTTTGATTATTATCCTTAAATATTATTATCTCGCATATAACAGTTATATACAATGTTTAAGATCACATAAATAATCACAGAATTTTCACTAATATTCTTAAAATATTCATTAATATATATGTATAAAAGATAATGAATAGACTCTTTTATTAAATAAATAATAAATATCCTATTATATGTCATGCTTCTACGACACCATTTTCAACAATCAGTCGATGAAAAATTATGAAAAATGCATTAAGGAATATTAAGAATTTAGTAGTGAAGTCAGAATTCAAGTTTGATAGCCTGAAGTATTAGAACCCGTTTGGTTCATGGATTAGAACTATTTTCGATTTATGTGTATTTTTTGGGAGAGAAAATACTGTAGCGAACCATGAACCATGATTCGAATCAGAGAACAAATCCTCCAACCAAACGGGCTCTTAATTTTAAGAAAAAAGGGTATTTTAGAAATAACTAATTATAGACCAAGATGATTTGATAGAAAATGTATTGTCCTCAAATGTAAGTCAAGAAATATGATGAGAAAATCAGAAGTCGAAAAAGATGAGTATAAAGGAGAAACTCATTAGGTCTATCAGATAAACCTATTTCACTTAAGAATATATATATATATATATATATATATAGGAATTGTCTTCAGTCCGGTATCCGGACTGGAGTGGCACTTGTTTATTTCTCTATAAAACATGTATATTTCTTCTTTAAAATGTGTATATTTACTCTTAAAACATGTACATTTCCTTTAATGGTAAAATATACAATATATACATGTTTTAAGAGAAAATATATAAATTTTAAAAAAGAAATATACATATTTTAAAGAAAAAAATACACAGTTCGGTGCCAGACTGGAGACTTTACATATATATATATATAGGTAAGGTCTCCAGTCAGACACTTTTTCAAGTGTCTGATTAGAACGGCAGGTGTATATTTCTACATAAATCATGTATATTTACATGTAAATTGTGTATATTTACATGTAATTCGTGTATATTTAACATGAAATACAATAAATCAACCAATATACATATTTTTATGCTATGTGTTCACTAATTGCTATAAAAAAATACATGTTTTGAGGATTAATATACATTGTCGTTTTTTATAATTTAACATACACGACTTTACATGTAAATATATACGATTTACATGTAAATATACATAATTTATACAGAATTATACAACTACCATTCTAATATGACACTTTTCAAAATAGAGACAATTTATATATATAGCTACTTCAAAAGCTTTTAGCTCAGCGAAGAATAAAAAAAAGAATGAAAGATTGACGATAAGAAAGACAAGGGAGTAGGTACAAATAGTTAAACAATATTATTTAAATATCTTATTTTAATAAAAAGTTACTATTTAAAAATAAAATTTTATCATACATAGGAATTGCGTAGTAACTTAGAATTTTCCTATAAATAAGCTCTTAAATTTTAGTTTTTTCTTACCCCAGAATTTCAGATTGAAAATTATTTCTCCTCTCTCTCAAATACTTCTTGGTGGTTCCAACTCTAGAATTCAAAGGTCGAAATTCTACTAATAAGGTACGAGTTCTAATCTCACTACTATTTATGTTATATAGTTTATTTTACTACGATACCGCTAAGGTAAATAATTCATTATAAGTCATTATAATGCCCTATTATCGTATACATGAATAGTATTCTAAATAGTGCTCGTATGTGAATAGTGTAAGGGTGAATAGTAATCATTTATGTGTATTTGCATCGTAACGTGGTCTGTAGTGTAGTTGTGTGGATGTGTACTGTGTAAGTAGGTTCTGTCTAAAAAGACTGGATTTTAAGTGGGACCGTCGTGACCCCTCTAGCTTTTCCTGGGAACTTACTTAGACAAGTAATTCTGTTTAAGGAGGCTGTTTGGCCTTGTTCTTTGTTAACATGACTAAGGCGAAATGTGCAATCTTTCCTAGGAATTAACCCAATCAGCACCATTCTCAAATTACTAGGGCGGTTCCATACGTATACGTATGCTTGAATAGTAGAGTTCGTACTCATGAATAGTAATGTACATTAGAAGTTTATAAACTCTGGACCAAGGACTTAATGACCAGAAAGAGACTAGACTTAAAGAATAATATGACGGAAAATATTTATGGATAGTAATGATGAAATAACAGTACCATATGTTTAGTTATTATATCAAATACTATGTTACTAATATAGTATTATTAATATTGTTAGGAATGCATTTTCCTACAGGCAGCCGAAATAAGGTAAGTAAAGCTCTCACTTACAACAAAAGTTATATTTTGAAAGTCATTTTCAT